GGCAGTTCGCAATCGCATGTTGGTGAGTTTACCCTATGTCATCTTTCCTGTGGCACTGAGGTGCCCTCCAAAAAGCACAAACCCATTGGAGGGAGCAAGCGAAAAAGGGGATCCATCTGGTGTTCATCTTGGTTTCCCTGGAAGGGTGGGAAGGCCCAATTTCAGGACATCCTGATTTTACTCTTGGAAGTAACAAGGCCGAGCGCCAATTTGTTGGATTCACCGTTTCTTTCATAGGCACTCTAAGAAAACGAACTGTCCTCTTCCCTTGTTCTGGCTGGTAAGTCATCCCCAATTCCATCCTGGCTACTCCCAAACCTTTCCCCCGTCGCTTCCCCAGTCTTTTCTTTGCTTGGGGTGATCCCATGGTACAAACACATGGAACAAATACACTTCTAAGCGTTTGCGTTTTTCCACAACTTGCAACATGGTGGCATTGAATGGAATGCAAGCGGTTCAGCGAGGGCTCAGGTCTCACATCTTTGGGCTCGTTTGGGTTGATTCCGAAGCTAATTCATATACGGGCGCAACAAAAACACACACATCACTGTCTTTTGATCATGACTTAGTTTAGTGTTGAAGTGCCATACAACCCCGTTCTAATTCCCAAGGCCAGAGTTGGGTGAGGAATGGCATCGTCAGTCCCAAACTGGGGGTCATGGGACCAGAGAAATGGCCCAAGTTCGAGGAAGACGGTCCAAGGAAGGACCTAAAATCAGGTGCGCAGCAACGTCCGGGCGGGTGCCTTAGGCGCTGGCTTTGGTGACCGAGACCTCTCCTGAGCAGGGCCTCACAGCCTCGCCGACTGCCAGCCACAGGCCAGGGCTCTGGGCCCAGGGCATGGCAACGTTCTTTCACTTGAGGGGAGGGGCGAAGATGGTGTGCCCTTTGCTGAGGGTACTCCTTTGTTTCCATGTACTAATTATTATATTTTTCTTTGGAGCGGAAGGCAAGCACATCCGTCTCACCTTCGGCCCACGCATTTTGGCCTTTTGTGCCCAACTCGCAAACTTTGGAGCCATGATAGCAGAATCTGAACAGTTGAGAAACATGGTTGCTTCTGGATGTGTCCGGAGGACCCCGCAAACAGTTGTACTTAAAACAAGAATCAACACACATGAAATCACTATTCGAGCACTAGCAGCAGCAACAGCAGCCCGCCACCGCCGCCACCGCCACCGCCACCACCGCCACCGCCACCACTGCCACCACCCCCTTCACCACCTGGACCTTCAGGGAATAGTAGCAGCAACAGCAGCAGCATCAAGCGCAGCAACACCAACACAAACAGCAGCAGTGGCGGCGGCAGCAGCGACACCAGCGACAGCATCATCAACATCAACCGTGGAAATGGTCACAACTACAAGAGAAGCGACTGCCGCAGGTTCTTCGCCGCACTCTATCGGAGCGATTTACTGCATCACTGGGTGCAGCAGAACCATGACGGCTTGCCACAGAAGGCAGGAACTATAGCTGCCCTGTTGTATGCCATTCTACTAGTGAACGCAGGTTGGTTCCCCCTCTGCGCTGTTTACATGGCTCTCAGCCTTATAGGTAGAGTCGAGCTTTCCTTGGCCTGTGAAAGGGCAGTTGGACATGTTTGTGTTATTAGTTTTTGTTACAGCCGCTCTGAAAATCGAACCCACTCATGAGGACAGTTGTCTCATTTTCAGCATTCAGCGTAAATACATGTGAGCCTCTGGCAGTGTGTATTGATTTGGAGGGCCCCATTTGGTTCCACAAGTTCCTTCGGAACCTGATTGTGCGGTTTGGCGCGGACTGCATCAGACTGCCAGAGTGCTGCTTGCGCTTTGGCATGTGGAATGTACATGCATGGCTTGCTGAGGCACCATGCTGAGAGCACAGACAGGATCAACCAGCTGACTTGCACTGTGAGACAACCAGGAATGCTGCGTGGGCGAAGCCAAAGGCAGACGGCAACAGATGATGACGGAATGTCACATGCATGGCTTACCTGAAAGCACCATGCTGATTGAAAGACAGGATCAACCGGCTACCTTTCACTTGGCGTCAATTGGTTGAAGTTGGAAGCTTGCATAGGAAACATCACTTCGTTCTGCGAGTGCATGTGGAATCTGGCTGGGGGCTGGGGTGGCGTGCGCACTGCGTTGCATTTCCCAAATGAATTGTGTGTCAGCATGTGTCATGTTGTAGGGTCTGCCTTTTATGATGACCATTCATTACATGCATGGCTTGCTGAGGCACCATGCTGAGAGCACAGACAGGATCAACCAGCTGACTTGCACTGTGAGACAACCAGGAATGCTGCGTGGGCGAAGCCAGAGGCAGACTGCAACAGATGATGACGGAATGTCACATGCATGGCTTACCTGAAAGCACCATGCTGATTGAAAGACAGGATCAACCGGCTACCTTTCACTTGGCATCAATTGGTTGAAGTTGGAAGCTTGCATAGGAAACATCACTTCGTTCTGCGAGTGCATGTGGAATCTGGCTGGGGGCTGGGGTGGCGTGCGCACTGCGTTGCATTTCCCAAATGATTTGTGTGTCAGCATGTGTCATGTTGTAGGGTCTGCCTTTTATGATGACCATTCATTACATGCATGGCTTGCTGAGGCACCATGCTGAGAGCACAGACAGGATCAACCAGCTGACTTGCACTGTGAGACAACCAGGAATGCTGTGTGGGCGAAGCCAAAGGCAGACGGCAACAGATGATGATGGAATGTCACATGCATGGCTTACCTGAGAGCACCATGCTGATTGAAAGACAGGATCAACCAGCTGACTTGCACTTGGCATCAATTGATTGAAGTTGGAAGCTTGCTTAGGAAACAACACTTCGTTCTGCGACTGCGTGTGGAATCTGGCTGGGGGCTGGGGTGGCGTGCGCACTGCGTTGCACTGGCAAGTGTTGGCTCTTGTGTCTGCATGTGTCATGTTGTAGCGCTTGCCTTTTATGATGACCATTCATTACATGCATGGCTTGCTGAGGCACCATGCTGAGAGCACAGACAGGATCAACCAGCTGACTTGCACTGTGAGACAACCAGGGATGCTGTGTGGGCGAAGCCAAAGGCAGACGGCAACAGATGATGACGCAATGTCACATGCATGGCTTACCTGAGAGCACCATGCTGATTGAAAGACAGGATCAACCAGCTGACTTGCAGTTGGCATCAATTGATTGAAGTTGGAAGCTTGCATAGGAAACAACACTTCGTTCTGCGACTGCGTGTGGAATCTGGCTGGGGGCTTGGGTGGCTTTCGCACTACGTTGCACTGCCAAGGGTTGGCTTGTGTGTTTGCCCTTGTCATGTTGTAGGGTCTGCCTTTTATGATGACCATTCATTACATGCATGGCTTGCTGAGGCACCATGCTGAGAGCACAGACAGGATCAACCAGCTGACTTGCACTGTGAGACAACCAGGAATGCTGCGTGGGCGAAGCCAAAGGCAGACGGCAACAGATGATGATGGAATGTCACATGCATGGCTTACCTGAGAGCACCATGCTGATTGAAAGACAGGATCAACCAGCTGACTTGCAGTTGGCATCAATTGATTGAAGTTGGAAGCTTGCTTAGGAAACAACACTTCGTTCTGCGACTGCGTGTGGAATCTGGCTGGGGGCTGGGGTGGCGTGCGCACTGCGTTGCACTGGCAAGTGTTGGCTCTTGTGTCTGCATGTGTCATGTTGTAGGGTCTGCCTTTTATGATGACCATTCATTACATGCATGGCTTGCTGAGGCACCATGCTGAGAGCACAGACAGGATCAACCAGCTGACTTGCACTGTGAGACAACCAGGAATGCTGCGTGGGCGAAGCCAGAGGCAGACTGCAACAGATGATGACGCAATGTCATATGCATGGCTTACCTGAGAGCACCATGCTGATTGACAGACAGGATCAACCAGCTGACTTGCACTTGGCATCAATTGATTGAAGTTGGAAGCTTGCATAGGAAACAACATTTCGTTCTGCGACTGCGTGTGGAATCTGGCTGGGGGCTGGGGTGGCTTTCGCACTACGTTGCACTGCCAAGGGTTGGCTTGTGTGTTTGCCCTTGTCATGTTGTAGGGTCTGCCTTTTATGATGACCATTTATTACATGCATGGCTTGCTGAGGCACCATGCTGAGAGCACAGACAGGATCAACCAGCTGACTTGCACTGTGAGACAACCAGGAATGCTGCGTGGGCGAAGCCAAAGGCAGACGGCAACAGATGATGATGGAATGTCACATGCATGGCTTACCTGAGAGCACCATGCTGATTGAAAGACAGGATCAACCAGCTGACTTGCAGTTGGCATCAATTGATTGAAGTTGGAAGCTTGCTTAGGAAACAACACTTCGTTCTGCGACTGCGTGTGGAATCTGGCTGGGGGCTGGGGTGGCGTGCGCACTGCGTTGCACTGGCAAGTGTTGGCTCTTGTGTCTGCATGTGTCATGTTGTAGCGCTTGCCTTTTATGATGACCATTCATTACATGCATGGCTTGCTGAGGCACCATGCTGAGAGCACAGACAGGATCAACCAGCTGACTTGCACTGTGAGACAACCAGGAATGCTGCGTGGGCGAAGCCAAAGGCAGACGGCAACAGATGATGACGGAATGTCACATGCATGGCTTACCTGAAAGCACCAAGCTGATTGAAAGACAGGATCAACCAGCTGACTTTCACTTGGCATCAATTGCTTGAAGTTGGAAGCTTGCATAGGAAACAGCACTTTGTTCCGCGACTGCGTGTGGAATCTGGCTGGGGGCTTGGGTGGCTTTTGCACTACGTTGCACTGCCAAGGGTTGGCTTGTCTGTTTGCCCTTGTCATGTTGTAGGGTCTGCCTTTTATGATGACCATTCATTACATGCATGGCTTGCTGAGGCACCATGCTGAGAGCACAGACAGGATCAACCAGCTGACTTGCACTGTGGGACAGCCAGGAATGCTGCTTGGGCGAAGCCAGAGGCAGATCAATCAGCTGACTTGCACTTGGCATCAATTGATTGAAGTTGGAAGCTTGCTTAGGAAACAACACTTCGTTCTGCGACTGCGTGTGGAATCTGGCTGGGGGCTTGGGTGGCTTTCGCAGTACGTTGCACTGCCAAGGGTTGGCTTGTGTGTTTGCCCTTGTCATGTTGTAGGGTCTGCCTTTATGATGACCATTCATTACATGCATGGCTTGCTGAGGCACCATGCTGAGAGCACAGACAGGATCAACCAGCTGACTTGCACTGTGAGACAACCAGGAATGCTGCGTGGGCGAAGCCAAAGGCAGACGGCAACAGATGATGACGGAATGTCACATGCATGGCTTCCTGAGAGCACCATGCTGATTGAAAGACAGGATCAACCAGCTGACTTGCAGTTGGCATCAATTGATTGAAGTTGGAAGCTTGCTTAGGAAACAACACTTCGTTCTGCGACTGCGTGTGGAATCTGGCTGGGGGCTGGGGTGGCGTGCGCACTGCGTTGCACTGGCAAGTGTTGGCTCTTGTGTCTGCATGTGTCATGTTGTAGCGCTTGCCTTTTATGATGACCATTCATTACATGCATGGCTTGCTGAGGCACCATGCTGAGAGCACAGACAGGATCAACCAGCTGACTTGCACTGTGAGACAACCAGGAATGCTGCGTGGGCGAAGCCAAAGGCAGACGGCAACAGATGATGACGGAATGTCACATGCATGGCTTACCTGAAAGCACCATGCTGATTGAAAGACAGGATCAACCGGCTACCTTTCACTTGGCATCAATTGGTTGAAGTTGGAAGCTTGCATAGGAAACATCACTTCGTTCTGCGAGTGCATGTGGAATCTGGCTGGGGGCTTGGGTGGCGTGCGCACTGCGTTGCATTTCCCAAATGATTTGTGTGTCAGCATGTGTCATGTTGTAGGGTCTGCCTTTTATGATGACCATTCATTACATGCATGGCTTGCTGAGGCACCATGCTGAGAGCACAGACAGGATCAACCAGCTGACTTGCACTGTGAGACAACCAGGAATGCTGCGTGGGCGAAGCCAAAGGCAGACGGCAACAGATGATGACGGAATGTCACATGCATGGCTTACCTGAGAGCACCATGCTGATTGAAAGACAGGATCAACCAGCTGACTTGCAGTTGGCATCAATTGATTGAAGTTGGAAGCTTGCTTAGGAAACAACACTTCGTTCTGCGACTGCGTGTGGAATCTGGCTGGGGGCTGGGGTGGCGTGCGCACTGCGTTGCATTTCCCAAATGAATTGTGTGTCAGCATGTGTCATGTTGTAGCGCTTGCCTTTTATGATGACCATTCAGTACATGCATGGCTTGCTGAGGCACCATGCTGAGAGCACAGACAGGATCAACCAGCTGACTTGCACTGTTGGACAGCCAGGAATGCTGCGTGGGCGAAGCCAAAGGCAGACGGCAACAGATGATGACGGAATGTCACATGCATGGCTTACCTGAGAGCACCATGCTGATTGAAAGACAGGATCAACCAGCTGACTTGCACTTGGCATCAATTGGTTGAAGTTGGAAGCTTGCTTTGGAAACATCACTTCGTTCTGCGAGTGCATGTGGAATCTGGCTGGGGGCTGGGGTGGCGTGCGCACTGCGTTGCATTTCCCAAGTGTTGGCTTGTGTCTTTGCAGCCGCTGCTAAGGCTTTTTTGTTTGATGACCATTGATCATGTACATGATATTTCGTTGCTTACCGTAGACGTTGCGGGGACATGGGAGGGCACTGAATCACCAAACCTCAGCTTTGGATGGCGAGTCGAGATCGCCTGAGGCCGGATACGCGCAGGAGGCTCTGAATGAGATCCACGGGTCTTGGTTCGACCCTTCCAATCCAGTGGCTGGAGTCTGAGATGGACTGCGCTATGGTCAGAAGACAAAGCTAGGCGACCATGAATCGTAAGGGAAGTTACACAAGCAATAGAAGGGTTCCTACGAAGGGAAGCATAACCATGGCCCACATCAGGATCGACAGGCTCAAATGTACCGCAGGGTTCGCTTCTTGGACCCCCTTTTTTAACCTAGACCTCCAGTGGTGCCCTTCCTTGTTGGGGAGGGTTCTGTAAAACCAAGCGAAGGGTGTCCTTTCCATGGCTGCAAGGGTCCAGGGAGCTCTAAAACGGAACTTTTCTCACAACCCGGCTCGGCCCACTTTCAGCCAGAAAGTGACCCCAGTAGTTTTTTGGATGCTGGGGCCCAATTTGGCAACAGCTACTGTGGAAGTCCACGCACTCCTTTCGGGACGACGGTCTTGAAAAGAGCTGTTGACCCCCATGGGATAGTACGAAAGCCAAACAGGTTTTCCATAGTCCATCCCTCTCAGTCCTCCCAAACTCGGTGGGTTCCCTTCCCAGCGGGTCCAAGTCTAAGTACCTCCCTAGGGTAGCAAGGGACCCTCTGGGCTTTGACCCCTTGTCTTAGGTCCACTTCCGCGCAGAGCTGCGTGCAGCCAACTTCGCCTGGCTGCTGGAGGCCGAGCTGCGGGCCCAGCTGGCGCCTTGGCCCATGGGCCGGCTCCGGGTGTTCGCTGGCGTGGCTTTGGCGTCCACTTGGGGGTCTGCTTTTGAGGGTATCCGTTTTGGGGGCTTATGGGGTCTAATTTAAGCCACCCCAGGCGGTTCCCGCATGTCGAGGAGAGTAGCGAAACGGTCTGGTTGGGGAGGGGTTGGGGAGGGGCGGGTGAGTTTTAAGCTTAGCTACATGTCTCTGTGATGCATGTCTGTCTATTTTGTGGCGAGCAGTTTCACCGATCCAACAAAACGAGCGATTTCTCCCATGGGTCCTAAAGACAGACTTGATCTCTTCTTTCAGGTTTTGGATTTTATGAAAATGATCGAAGCCAACAACTGTGGATCAACTTCACTTAAAGGGATGACGTTGACAATGGCAACACACTGGGGCCTGGGTGGGCAACATGATTGAAGCGGGGCCAAAAGGACATGTTTGAATAAGCATGTAGTCATGTTTCGAGAGGCTCAATCTGAAAGCCAGTCTTTTGTTGCTTCAAGAAACAAATGTATGTATGGAGGCGCGGGCACGTCTGGCTTGCCCTTGAGCTCCAACTTCATGTCGAGGAAAGCATTGAACATTGCATATCTCGCGGACGCTTGCACAGCTTCAAGGCTGTTAGTCTAGTGAGTCATGAAATGTGATCGAAATTGACGTCAAGCACCAATTGGCCGTTTTGGCAGGGTGTTCTACCGGGAACAGCGGTTTCTGTGAGACCTTCCTGAACCTTCTCGGTAGAAGCTACCAGCAATCGGGTTTTCTGCGCTGCTATAGTGGTTCTTCTGCTGAACGACGATCTCGGCAAGTCAGGCACCACGTGCTCAAGTATTTTAAACAAACGTGTGTTCAAAAACTAGGATCTTGAGACGCCTAGCCTGTTTTTCATGTTCCTTTAAACGCCATGCACAACTCCCCCCCACAACAAATGAGTTTCCATATTTGTACTTACGAGTGAGCTCGGCGGATTGTCGATCTGGGAAACGACGCACCCAGATGGTTCAATTATTTTTCGATCAAACCTGAGGGAGGGTCAGTCGAAGCTGTTTTCCTTTCAAAGGGGCCTTATGTTGAGTTCAATGTTGGGGGGAGGGTATTCAGAGAATTCAGTGCAATTCACTTGGATTCACTGGAGGTGCGCTTTGCGTACCTCACTCTTACCTATTTGCTGCGATGTGCCACTAGTACTTGGTCAAACACTGCTTTTCCCTTGCACACCTGAGTAACAAGAATCCTTGTTACACACCACCACAACAAGATTCGTTAAACTTCGCGCGTTACACACCCTCAAACTAAAACATAGCCTTATTATATTATGAGCCACTAAACACTCTTACCACTTGCCACTGTTTTGGACGAACCCAACGGGCAAATCCCTGCACCAGTTGCAATGGATGAAGCCCTACACTGGTTGATAAACCACCAGGTGGTGCGGAAGGGGTTTTGTCCATCAGGTCCAGCCCACGCTACAACTCCACATTGCACATTCTGAACAAAGTGTGAGGTCATTGCCGTGGGCACCTCCCTTTGCGACACGCCTTCCACAGCAGCCCCGTGGGCTGCAGCTGAGGGAGAAGACTGAAACTGGCATGCGAACATAAACATCAGATGTTGTCCGAGACCCCATGAAAGGCTCTGCAGCATTCGTCTTCTCATTTGTTGGCGGTTGCTTCGGTTGGTGGTTTTGCTCCAAAACACACACACACACACACACCGGCTTTTTTCAGGTTTGTTGGTTCGTGAGCAACGGTCAATATTTGCTGTCATCTATGGTAGCAAAGGGGATGGCAAGGGCCACACTCTCCAAAACAGCATTCGGACATAAGGCTGCTCACCAAAAGTGGGTCAAGGTTTTGCAAAGCCTTGCGCACTCGTTGGCTGAAATGATGAACCAAAATACTGGTATCCTAGGTTTACGGTTGAACGTTAAGACAGGAAGCTCCTTGTCAGGGCACGCAACTTGACTGAACCGCGCAACCACTGGGCAAGACCCTTCCAGTCGGTGGTGTTGATGTCCAAGTGTGTAGGGCCCGTCCGTTGTTGACCTACGTTGCGCCTTCTGGCCCAAAAGACAAGTTGGGATTGGCAAAAGTAGCGTCCAACTGGGCAAGGTTGTAAAAAAATAGCAAGCGGGGTACCCACAGTTTGCCTTGCTACGCAGAGTCCCTTGGTACCCTTTACCCGTTTGGTGAGGGTGTTGAACCGGACTGAAGCACCTTAGAAATCACCAAAGGCACCCTCAAGTGTCTGATAAGAGGCACCCTCAAAAGAGAGCACACCCATGTGGCTGTGGGTCAAAACCAATGGTACCGTTTTAAGGTACGCGCACCTCCGTTTTAGTGGGGGAGTGGGATGTTCACTTGGGGTACGATTTGGGTTTTGACCCATGGCCATGTGGGTTGTCCAGATGCCTTTTCGAGAGCTTCTTCCATTTGCTTAAGAATATGTTTGTTTTCCCTTGTTGGTTTTAATGTGTTGGTTTTAAGTATGGAATTTATCACTTCTGGCAATATTGTTACTTTTTCCAGTGGTCTTAAGCAAATGGAAGGCTTGGAGCTTAGGACCGCCTGGTCGTGACCTGCGCGCAGCGCGCTCGGGAGCGCCAAGAGGTTTGCGGGGCCTGTGTGGTGGGCCTGCAGCGCACCCGCAGCCCGGCGCTGGACTTGGGATTTCTGGCGCTCCGCAAAAACTGGCCCCAATATGATTACTGTTGCTATCCGCATTTCTGTTGCTATTGTTATATATATATATATATATTTACGCTTGTCATATGTAGACTTATTTTTGCTCTCAGCATTGCTACGTCTAAGTTATTACTAATACCTCATACGAATTACAAGTACGATTGCTAAGCCTAGTACTATCACTGTTAAACTGAATTTTGCTATTGCTGTTATGTTCACTACTGTTGTATACTACTATGGCCATGCCTATTGCTTTTTCTACTACTGGTATTGCTATTACTAATATTCATTAATACTACTATACTATGACTATTGCTGTTACCAATGTGGATTGTAGGTGCAAAAAGGGGGAACATTGTATTTTCCTCTAACCAGGACGCGATACCGACGAGAGTCTCCTCATGATGCTCTTGAAATGAGTTGACAAAACTCAAAGAGAGTAAGATAACAAATGGACATGAAATCAAGCCGTTCCAAGCTCTAGACTACTACGACAATCAAGAGATGATTGCCAGAGAAGCTGCTGGCAAAGCAATCGATATCGCTCTCATGTTGCCCATTTGTCATTTGGCACGCCGCATTATGGAGATGTTGGGAGCAAGACGTCAATATTGCTTGAGGGAACCCATCGAGCTCTGCGACAGCTTCATTAAATGAGGGGAGGCAAGGCGTTTTTGAATGGTTTTCGAAGAGAGCTCCTAGAGAGAGGAAGAGCAGAGTCCGTAAATTTGGGTCAGAATGTTTCCTTGTAAAGCGGGTGGTTTTTGGAGGTGTCCTTTGAGCAACCATTGCAAATGGCTCCCCTTTCAAGTAGGTTGTGTTACCCTCACCTGTGTGAAGTTGGAAACCCAAAGGAAACCATACGGTTTGGACACATCAAGGGGACCGCCTTCAAAGTGACAAACCAGTCATGGGAATCACCAGCACTGGTATCACATAAAGCTTGATTTTGCACAATCATGAAGGGACACGTTGGTTTTGTGGGTGAACGGTTGTCTCAAAATGCGGGAGCCTCAAAATTGGCGGTTTTCCTTTTTTTCCACTTCAAGACTACATCAAGAAGGGCACCATCCAAAAAGCAGCTCACGTGGGCGTGGCGTGTCCGTAGGCCTGGACCGCTTTGCACAGCTCCGCGTCTTCTGCGAGGCGGACCGCTTCTTTGAGCTGGTGGCGCAGGAGTCGGAAGGCCTCTTTTTTTTTGTTGTTATCTTCCTGTTTTTTGTTTCTTCTTTTTTTGTTTCTCGTATTTGTGTGTTTCTAAAACTGGTGATTGATCAATATTCCATTTAGGGCCCCCAAATGACCATTGGGACCGTTTCCCATTTAGTGGGAAGTATCATTTTGTTAGTGGCTTTCCCCAATGGTCATCCCATGCAAAGGACCTTTGGATCAACCCCCAACTAGCGCCCCTAAAACTGTTGGTTTCTTTCGTTCTCGCTTTCCTTTCACTGACCAAAGAAGAGTGCGCCAGGTTGAAAAACCCTCATTTGTTTGAGCTTTTTGTTTGTGCCAAAAGAAGGTCCCAGGTTATGAGATGTTTGTTCTTCACCCAAAGAACGGGTGCCAACTTTTCCCCATGGAAATCCTCTGAGGTCCGGATGACCGAGGGGTCTGCTTGGATCGGGAACTGGGGAACCCCTATGATGAGTCTGTCTGTTCCGGATTCATGCAAAGTTGATATTGATTGCCCAGGCGTCCAATGAAAATGCCTTCGGCTGTTCGCCCGCTGATTTTACAAGGTTGGTCCATGTTGTCCCTATGCTAAATAGCGCACCCCTTCCTTCCCGCGTCCCCTGGGAAGACTAAAGCATGTATTGATATGGTCACAGTTTTCACTTCGGTTTTGTCCGGATGGGGTCGGCCCTTCCTGAGGCCCTTTTACAAATGGCAATTGTTCGTAGGATCCTTGATGGAATCCATCAAGGTAATTTGCTCCTTTCCGGAATTTACGATGGAAAGGGGCAAGATGGCGTAAGTCATGTGGAAATTTGCAGTTCAATTGTGAATGCTGTAGGTCCTGGTATTTACATCGGGCAAACAAAAGCAGCTACGTATGTTACATTAAGTCATTCTATTGCAGTAACTACAACGGTTTCGTTTGTACTTAAATTGCTCACCAAGAAGCTTTCAGCGAGAGTAGGACACTGTCCTTGAAACTTGCTTTGTGCTGGCGGTTGCTCCCTTCAGGAGCTTTGGAAGACGGGGATTCCCGCGAGTCCAACGGCAGCGAGCCGGGAGGCACGGCTGCAACAGCTTTATGCTGATGTGTGTGTGTGTGTGTTTTTGAACTTAAACCAACCAAATGATTGTTGGTGCTTTAATAAAAGGGGTGTTTGTTGGCAGCCTAACAAAGGTTTCCAACTGTAAGGTTGGCCACCCAAGTCTTTGGTCAGTTTGCTCGGATATGTTGGCCTGAAGCTCAGTTTTTGGGAAGACGCCTCAGTTCACGAAGCAAGTCTGCGAGCTTGGGGCCGGGCCATGGAATCGACAGGGTCTCCCAGTAGTGCATTCATTCTTTAAGAGTAGCAACAGCTGCAAGCTATCGCTACAGCAACTACGGAAGCACCAGAGTCATGTTTAAGCGGCTGATTTCACGGCGGATCCAATCATGAGTCCACATTGACGGCTTTGAAGAGAGGGACTTTGGACGAGGGTGATGTTTAGGAAACCCCTTTTTGTGGGAGGGGGCTCCATCCTTGGTTGGGAAGGTGGTTTGAGGGTCTGGATTTTTGGGGGGTTTGAAACGGTGTGCTCTTTGAGGAACACTACAGGTTTTCGCCATAGGTGCGTTTTCGGAGGGATAAACATGCATTTTGCGGGTGCTCCTGTGTCTTAAATCCCGTGAGGAGGCATCATGGAGGTCCAAGTTTTGGCGCCAACGGTAAGACAACACGTCTTCGCGTTGGATGTGTCGTGGCATAGCCCAGTGTGATGTGTTCTACGTGTATCTATTCAGAGTTGTATCGTTTGTTTGTTAGTTCATTCAGTGTTACTGGGCATCCTTGACGAGGTTCAAGTTGGAGGGCACTTGACAACTTTTTATGTCGCTGAATTATCAAACCTCCCAGTGATTCTCAAGAGGGGCATTTTTTGTGACGGATAACATGTGTTCCAGAGACCTCCTCATTGGCTTCCACATAGAGGATGAATCAAGTTTACAGTGGCAGGGCTCCGTGGAGGTATTTCCGAGGGCACCATTGGGTTACATTGGGTGCCCAGTAAGAGTCGGACGCCAAGCTGGACCGGATGTTTCCGGGCTGCACCCTGTCCATGGGCACTATCCCAGTTTAAACTATGCCTAGGGTCAGCAAACAGGCACATGTTGCCTATGCGGGCATGTGTCAAAGGGATAATCTTCCTTTGGGCGTCCCTTTAAGCACAGCCTAGACATGGTACGCTTAAGAAACACAAAAACACGCGCCCATTCCATGGTCGCTCAGTTCCACTGGTGGGTGTGTGTGCGTGCGTGTTTGTGCGTGTTTGTTTTTGAGGGACCCGTTTTGGTGGGGTGGTTTTGGAGGGAATCCAAAGAGAAAACCCACCATGTTGCAGACCCCCTAGTTTGACGCCCACTTCTCGGACGCAGGACGGCGCCACGGGAGTGATGTACATCACTTCTGGGCCTTCACAGGGCCGCGCGCTCCAAGTGCGCGGGACCAGAGAAGGCTTGTGGTGCGAGAGTCGTTGGGTCCCGGAAGCGACTGGTCAAGCGAAAAGAGGGGAAGGTCCTCCTTTCTAGTGGGGTCCTTCACGGTAGAGTTTTGGCGTGGGTACGCTCCCTGATTCCATGGAACAACAAAGGGTCCGTATTGGCCTCAGGGAGGGTCCCACTAAACAGGGAGCATCCTGGCTACTGAGGGATTTACTCTCTAAATTTACCACGAATGAAGAAAGCCATGGCCCATGTAGCTGTACCCTCTGGCCACTTAAGCGGGGCAAACATGGTGAGCCGTTCCGGATTTCAGACTGCTCCAAATGTGTGGAATTATTTCAACCCCCAACCACAATGTGAGGATGGCTGGGTTGTCATGGATGGACGAACCGTTTGTGGAAGCCGGGTATTGGAGAAGAAACATCAGTGAAGCGAAAGCTGTGAAGCACATGACCAGATGGCCAAATGCAATTGCCCCGTTGCTTGTGTTGTGTTTGCGTTTCTTTAGGTTGGCTTTCAATCTGGACTCCGGACCTCTAACCAAAAACAAAGAGTGCCACTTTCTCCCATGGCGGGAGGTTTCAGGGTCCCATTGCTCAACGGCACAAGTGACATCGATCTGAAAGCATCTAACAGTCCAAGCGTGAGGCTGGACTCCTGGACCACCGTCTAAATTGTCAGCAGCTTTGGTGCGAACCAAGTTTGGGTGATCCCGGGATGCCCGGTACCCGGGCCGAACCTGACGGCAGGGCATTTGGAACTGGACGGGGGCCTGCTGCTGGGCGCCTGGCCGCTCGCAAAGATCTGGGTTGAGGATAAGCTCGTGCGAGGTGACAATGAACACCACTGATTCATTTCGATAAGCTCGGTTTGATTTGGGGTCTTAAAGCTATAAACGCTGAGAGCTTCTTGGTACCTAAGAGGTAATTTAGCCGCTTGGACCTTCTGGCAGATGTGGAGGTAGATCCTGTAGACTTTAGCATTCCTAGCTTTTACTTGCATTTACAGTGTGACTCTGAGCGCGTCTCTGTGAGCCCAGCCCAGAACAGTCCAAAGCCATCCTGACAAATAGTTTTCCGTCTTTGCGTGTGTTTACAGGTGTACATGTAGATTTGTTGCTTGTGTGTGAGTGAAGGGGCGATTGCTGGGTTGTGTTCTCTTCGGGGTTTCCTTCGAACGACGCCATGGTTATCCTGGGTTCTCTCCAAAACAAACCTAAATCGATCACTCCAGAAAAAGCCGCACGGGTATAGCAAGCCTTTAGTCGGCTGGTCTGAAGATGATTAGGCGGACAGGGCTCCTCGTCACATTGGGGCGGACGCAATCCGGCAGAAACAGACTGTCGCAGCTGGGGAGCGGACCCAGAACAAAGCCCTGGATCTGCCAAGTGAAAGTCACAAGTATAGTCTCTGGTTCAAAATAACTCAAATACCCCCACCAGCCCGGGAATCCCTTCCGGAACCTGCCCGAGAGGCGCCCTAAACCGAAGATCCGCGGATTGACCCCGTAGCTCTCGCTATTGGGGGAACCAAAGTTGCTACAAGAATAGTCTGTCGCTCATCGGGATAGAGCTGCTTGTAGCCCTTGGGCTGGCGGAAACCCGAAACCAGACTGCTAAGACTTCTGCCTCAGGTGGCCGGACACCCCAGCCCATCGCTGCCCCGCGCCCCTCAGCTTGACTGCCGTGCCACGGAATACGCGCCAGCGGCGGGTGCTTGAGGCAGCGCGACTTGCAGAGGCGGGATTCCGGACTGGAGGGAAGTGTCATGGAAGCCCAGTTTCAGTGCAGTCTATGCCCGTATGGTCCTTCAACATAGAGTCAACATGCACCAACCAAGAAGGGCTCAGTGGAATCTATGAGCGTCCTTCTCCATGGTGTCCAAGAGCTTACAAGGGTTTCCTTTTTTCACAGGTTGTCAAGTGGGATCACGCGTGAGGCGCCTGTCTCAGTGCCGAGCACATTCTTGGCCGGACGCTGGCGTGGGGACGCGGTGCTGATCAGCGGCCGAAAGGACCACCCCACGGCACCACCAGAGCGCGCCCAGGATCTCTGCAACTGGGATAAAACCCATCGAAAAGTCGAGGGTGCAAACATTAGAGTAAGATAAGGTTTTCGTTTGGGGGCAGTCAATGCCATTAGCTGGCGTTGTTTGTTAGAAGCTACTTCCTAGGACGGCGCGTGTGTCAGGGTCCCGATATCTGTGCAGACTTGGTGCAAATCCATGCCCAGTTTTAGGATCTCGGCCACCAATCGGAGCGATGTGGACCGCAACGCATACGGCACGGTGAGCCCCCTTTCTGGGTCAGTGTGTGTGGCACCATCTTACATCATTGCCCTTGACTAAAACGATGGTGGTAGAAAGCATATTAAATCCTAGGTTTAGGTTTGATCGTTAACCAAGTTTGGAAGCACTTTTGGGAAGTTTCAAGTTTTTCCCTTTGACATCCACTATAGTAATATACCAGCACAAGAGGGTGTCCTGGTGTAACTCCACTGGAGGTCTAGGAATCTAATTTGGGCGACTGGTGTGCCGAGGCTGGGTGCTGGGAGGTGACAAGGAGCTTCGAGGCTGGAGTCGTGCGTGTGAGGTCTTGGGGTCGTCCCAGTTGCATTTTGAGATTATTTTTAGGGGTGGTGTACATCCCCGCTTGTGCAGCGGTACCCGTTTTCCCCTTTTGCCTGGTGGATTCCCGAGCAAAAAGGGTCAAGCCCGCAAAGGATTGTCACGCAGGGCAGCCGTGTTTGTGTGGAAGTGCCAGTCAGTTGGCAATGGACTTGGTTTGGGCGTTGTGCGTGCTTAACCTGCTTAGGCAATTTGTTTGGCCTGCTGAAGGATCTAGCTCTAGCCGTAGGACATATGTTGTTTATTCCTGTTTACAACTCAGGATCAACGTCCAACTTGCGAGACAGGGAATACTTCTACATCAGGGTGGTTGTGTTGAATCATCCTGCAGGCCACTGAATTGTGATGCATCCGGAACAATGCCACCATCGGATCACTTGATTATTTTACAAAGTGTTCAAGCTGCTGAGGCAGAGTCGTCGAGTGCTCCACTTTTGTGTTTTTTTTTTGAGGGTACCCTTTTTAGGGTTGGCTCAAACAGAAACCAAAGGAGCGTGACTCATTTTGGGGCTTACCCCTGTTTTGAGACACGACACCCCCATGTCAAGCAATTTATCAGGCCTTTTCGCACGGTCTTTGAGCACCTTGATCTTGCTGCCTTCCCAGCCAAAGGGTCTGCTAAAGCATGGTGGGTTTCACGTCAGAGGCAAGTAAGTACCCTGGGGGTTGAAGTACCTCAACCTGGTCAGACCTCGGGACCGGACACACAAATCTGTCTCAGTCAGGCGCCCATAGCCTTTCTGCAAAGTCCGCAAGTGGATTTTGGAATGAAACGCACGGGGTATTCAGACCTCCAACCGATTGCTTGCCCGAAAGGATCTCAACTTAAAGCCAAACACAACAGTATGCTGGCGGCTAGCATGATGAATCTGCGCCGTGCCAGTTTTTGACTAAGCAGCGTGACCCCTTTTCAGATGGTATCAATGTGGGATGACGGGCGAAGGATGATTGATTTTCCCTGGCTTTCTGAGTCAGCCTCTTTTCTCTTCGTGGCAACTCAGTCAGGTGCCGGCTTCACTACGTGGCCGGCGGCTCATGTTCTGTTGGGTGTGGGCGGCCGGGTTTTTCACACCATCCGCGGCACCTACGAAGGCGCGGAGAGGTTGGGGGGGGGGGGGGGCAAAACGAGAGACGCCAGATGAAGTGACTCTGGACGGTCACTCATGTTTCAAGATTTCAGGGTGAATTCCATCGAGATGACATGCCTCGAGATATCTTACATTGCTATAAGATGATTCAGCTTGAGAACAGAATCGGCCGCTGCACCTGGACTTCAGTCGCCTTGCCTGTTCAGTTGGCTAGGAGTTTTTGTGGACCTCTGTTGGTTGGTAGTCATAGGAAACGAAAAGGACACCCTGCCATTTCATACGAAATGGGCCCATATTTTGAGAAAGCCCTCAGTGTTGGACAGATTTCTTCGTGACACTTTGTCAACACCCAAAAAAGTTAAGGTTTTCTGACCATGCTTAGCCGGTTTTCGTTACGCGTTTCCTATGTTCTTGTCTTCCATGGCTTCAAGCTTGAAACGACCGGGCGCCTTGGGTGCTGGAGCCATGGACAGCTCGGTAGGACCATTTTCTGCTTCCAAGGGTAGCCTCGTGATAGAATGGACATGACACCCATGGAACAGAGGCTGGCGTACGGTCAGGGGGTCCCTTTGCCTCGGCTCCATACACTGAGCTTTCATCACTTTCATCCACAAGGGGCTCTGACGAAAACACAACATGCGCATGCTACCAGCCAAAGCCGCAAAATGGACTACTGTTCATCCCTTTGGTGTTTACCAGGCACACGGCGTGAATCACCACGAAGGATCCACTCTCATGGACCTTCGGTGGAGGAGCCCAGGAGCCCAGGCCTTCAGCGATCAGTCCCTCATAGGGTTCAACCCTCACTAGAGGCGTTGATTCCCAGTTTAGTATGAGACTCCTTGGGCAAGCAACATCTCCTCCCCCGGTTCTAGTGAAGTCCCAGGCCAAGAGTGAGGTGATATGGCCCTTGTTTGGTTCGGGCAGATGGCGCGCTGCAACTGGACCTCCACTGGGAGACCTCTGTGGCCTCTCGCTGCCCCGGCGAGAAGCTGAGCCCGGAGCAGGGCGGGTCTGCACCCGCCCACGTGCAGGCGGATGGGGCGGGTGGGTGGGTGGCTTAAAAGGGGCATGAGACTTAGTAAGTGGCCAACTAAAGCGAATCCCAAAGAACGGTTCCGCTTGTTTAACCTGCTAGCAAACCTGGTTCTAGCCCACTCAAGCTTGAGGAGTTGTTCCCTCCGTGGGTGACAGCCAGGAGTACCGACCACTTACTAAGCATGCTGACGCAAGTGAGTGGCCGGTCTGCAGAGGATGGCAATGCCCCTTGTTGTCTTGAGGGGACCCCGTTCTTGGCATGGAAATGTGGAGGTCTTGTTTGATCAACATGTAGGACAATGTGATCTAGTAGACACTACCTAATTCGGCTGCAAAGCAAGGCTTCCCAGTTGTTGCTGCTTTGGGTTGGCATCCAATGTTTAATTCAGTCAGAGCCCAGTGGTAGCATCGCCGAAACCTTCAAGGTGATCTATAATACATATATATATATATATATATATATATTAATATGTGTATAGCTTTTGTGGTACCCTTATGCATGAGGCATGATAGGGGTGACTGTGCTTAAGGACAATCATCAGCCAGGTCAGCAAGCTGTTATCTGCTTTTGCCGGGACCTTGTATGTTTTCGTTGGGGGTAGGATGGGGTAGGCCACCAAACTGGGGTTGTGGGCAGGCGGACGAGGGTGGGTTCTTGGCGCCGCCTCGCGCGCGGAGCGTGCGCAGGTCTCTGGCCGTGTTTGGTGGGACGACCGCCGAGGAGCTTTGCTGCTGGCTGGACTGTGGCAGGAGGAAGGCACGCGTTGGATGGGTCGCAAAAGGGGTTGGCCGGAGGTTAAGGGGGGAATGGGTCGGGCGAATTTCAAGGCCTTTGGAAAGACGTGCTCGATCTGATTCTTGGCGGAATCAAAAAGTCCGGGACAGAGAACTGTACGGAAGTACGGAGGCACGTAGATTGCAGCGCAGACATCCATGCATGAGGGTGTCCATTCAAAGCCGACCGCCGAAACCAGGAAGGTTCGGGGTTCCTCGTGTTTGTTCCTGTGGCCACAGGTCTTGGGGAGAGCATCTTCCGTGATACCAGGTAAAAGGCCAGCGAGGAGCCGACTGGAATTTGTGACGAAGAACCTGCACAAAGCATTGAGATCTAATTGCTTGTCAAGGTTCCGTTTTTCGGGCCTTGCCACGAAAGACAGGACTCTTACTGCAGGTTTCGCCCATTTTGTTCTTTGTAAAGCACGCTGAGCTACCTTTTTGGAAGAAGATCGGTTGACCCCGGCTCTCTGAATTGATGAAACGCTTGTGTTTAAGGCTAGACCACCTGGTTGGCATGTTGGGTGGGAACCTGAACGTAGAGTTTCTTTCTTGAGTTTGCCGATTTCACCGGAATTCGTTGGAGTCCCACCTCCGCGTCATTCCTTCAGAGGTATGATTGACGCCCGGAATGGTCAACCTGGTGGACGAATCCGCAAGGCGTGAACGATCTCCTGTAAAATATAGTATGCCCCATGAGTATCCCTGCATTGGATTTTCCCCACAGAATGGGAGGGGCTGACCTCCCTGCAAACGGTGTTTGCGTTTAGATAGCGTTGTAGTAAGCTACTTTGGGTCTACAAAGTGAGTTGCTGCAAAATGCATGCATATGTGAAGAAGCTACATGTCTCTTGTTGTTTGTACGGGTCATGCTGAAGGGTTGTGCTTGGGTGGTGTTGGTGACCACACATTTTGTAGATAACTTGTTCTCCAAACTTCATGACTGTTTATCCTATAGAATTGCTGTTCAGCCCCACTCCCCTCAATTCACAGAAGTTCCAGCATTATATATTACCCAATGCTAATTAGGCAATTTCGTTCGAACAGGAAGGTCAAGGGCCGGGAATGCTTCCATGGCATCCCTTCTTCCTCATGTGCTCCGATGGTTTCTACACATCGGCGCCATGCACAAGGGGATTTTAAAGTGTTCTCGTGTCGAACATATCCACCATTCTCCACCATGATTACATAAACGGGTTACATGCCGCGTTTCCCCCTAGCGGTTTAGCGCTTTGGCGCAGCTAAGAACCCGGACACCGAGCGAGCCGTCGGTTTCGCGAGGCGCCTCCGGGGCTCTGCTGCTGACCAGAGAGCCGACGTCCGATGCCGGGCTTTGGGCACCTCGGCGAGGTCCTTCGAAGCGGAATGGCCGCGTCTTTTTTTTGGGGGGGAGCCTCCAAACTGGGGGAACCCTTTAAAACACACACCGCGGGAAACCCGGGGGGAGCCACGACAACAGGGGGTTTTCTTTTTGGTTTCCGGGGGAAACGGTTTAAACCCACTGCAAGGGGGGGGGGGTACCCGCAAAAACCACCGGAATTTCAAGGGTTCGGAAAGGCTCACAGGAACTGATTTATTGGAGAGGGCCTCATTTGTGTCCCTCTCATCTTTCCGAAACGGGAGTTCGGGTGTCAAGGCATGTTTGTTCTTGAACATTGCGTGACAGTAGACAATTTGCAATGCTTTGCTGGTGTTCCTAACCATTTTGGAGGCGACCGAAACATGTTTGTGCTTTCGACAGGCATTCAGTTTGTCTATGTCAAACATTGCATAGAAGCTAACATCACATTTGGACTGTTTGTCTTTTGTTTTGTTTAAACGTGGGGCTGTGCATATCTAATTTGAAAGTTGTTCAAGTTCAGCAGTCGTCAAATGCTGCACGATTTGTTTAGCCTGGGGTAGACCGTTTGCTCGGCTCTTCTGTTTTGATGTCAAAGGTCAGTCGGAAGCTGAGCCAGTGCAATATCACTGAGCCAACTCTTCTCTTCACTGCTGCATCTTGAGCTCAGCCAGAGGAGTTTTTCCAGATAATCCTCAATCCTCATGCCAGATAGTCGGGGTTTCCTTGTTGTAGCGGTGCCTCAGTACGGCATTGTGGATTCCTGTATGGACGACTGGGATTAGGGATTCCCCATTTTAAGCAACCCCACATAGATGGTCTTTGTGTTTGGAGCCGAAGTGTGTGATTTGTGGCCGCTGAAAGCAGCTTGGCGCGGTTGTCGAAACAAGACGCCCCTTTCGTGATGGTATTTTGCTCTGACTCTAAATTCAGCAGGTCTTCAAAGGGATCTTTGTGCCAACAGACATATGCCTCACCACAGGGCAGCTGTTTGCTGCGTTCGCCTTCCCAACATCCGCTTCCCCCAGGAAGGTGACGTGGACGGGAACGCAGCCCAATGGGTCCTGAGTCTAGCAACTCGGCCTTGGGATTCGGTCGGCACTTGAGGTTTGCAGGACTTGGGTCTTGTTTTGCAGACGCGTCAAACTCATGACAGGACGCATGCTGATTGAGATTCTACATGCCATTGTTTGCAACCTGGATTTCAGCGAACTGGGGGCTTTAGATGCTGATGAACGGTTACGACGCCTCCGCGCTCGTGGTTGCGCCCATGGCAAGCCATGCTTGTCCCTATCAAGACCTTGGGGATGGGCACCGATACTACTCATGCTCCTGAAAGATCGGCACAGAACCAGCAAACATACGACTATCATAGTATATAGCGGCAGCGGTAGCTGCGCAGAGGTTGAAATTCTCCCGGCCGGATCTAGCCGGTCTCTTTTTGGGCGGTCTTGAAAGAGATGAGCCTCCCGCATCAGCGAGCAAAACAAGCTTCACCACACGCTTCGTCGCACTTGGATGGCTCATGTAGGGTTGCTTTGACTTACTTCCAGTATAGCCTGATCGGGCGTGTTTCTTGGCTTCCCGTTCGGCACATCAACGTGCAACTGCTTCTCTTGCCCAGAATTGAAGGTACTTGACTGGTTAAATTAACTGCAGTGCACTTTCAGAAGCCTTGGCCAATTGGGTGGTGCTTGTTGGACAAAAGCACTCCCGCATCAGCAAATCAACACCCATGTCTTTCCATGGCGCCGGCTGGGATCTCTTTGGACAGTATTTTCAGTTTTAAGTTTCACAACAAGGACCGGATGTTTAGGTCCAAGCCCCTTCCAAATGGAGATCCAGACCGGTCCAATGAGGCTTGGGGATATGACTATTGGTAGGGAGGAGGCAACTGTGCTGAAACAGAGTCTGCGGCCTGCAAATAACAGGCAAACCGTAGAGTGACTGGCCGAGGATAGCCCTGCCTTCGGAGTTTGCAGCCGGGGTCCGAGACTCGCTTCACGTCTGGACAGAATCGGAAGCCTTAGGTTCCTTGGATAATGTCTATAGTCACGGCGTGCTTTGGATCTCGAGGCTTGGATCTTTGAGAGAAGCTCACAGCGGAGCTTCGTGGAACCCCACAACAGAAACAGAGCCGCCTAAGAGTGTACGTCAGGATCCTTATTGGACCATGGTGTCGCTTCGATAACTTGTCCCATCCTCCACATGTTGCTTGGACATTCTGTACCTGTTGCTTCAATCAGCTGGTCTGGGAGCTGAGTGAAGGGTGGGATCCGTGCCAGTGCCCCAATTCCCCAGCATGGGCTCTTCGCTAAAGTGCTGTTTGGAATTTCCATGGAGGGAACGCCCTATCCATTGATTCACAACTGTGCATTTCAAGAAGTCAAGAAGCCGTTTCCATTTGAGCATCAATTGCCAAGCAAGAGGGTGTCTTTTTTCCTTACGTCTGCAATGCTCAATAAGGCTGCTTCACATGGGGAAATGCTAGCCTCAATTCAGGTTCCTCTATAGAGACGCCTGGATTTTGGGTGAAGTCTCGTAGTTCACCAAGAACCCCTATATGCTTGGTGTTTTGGCTCCAGCTTGAACATTTCGGCATCAGGTTCACTGATCTGTGCGGATTCCAGTCGATTTCAGGCGTTTGGTTGCAGACAGTGATGGCTACATCGTTCTGGCTTCTTGGTGCCGTGAGGATTGAATTTGGTTTAGAAGTGTGAGTATGCTATGAAACAAGACACAGCCTTGTGATGAGCAATAGTGGTGAGCTGCATGTACATCGTGTTACACTTAGCATCATCTAGCATTCTGGACATGATCACACTGCATTTGCGAACACTACTTCAACAGCCAGGAAGCAAACTTGAAACAGGTTCATGGATCTTTGAACGGATGACTAATCTTAACTGCTTGGCACTTCCGAGGCAAAGGCGAGGAGTTGCACTTGCGGTGGGCTCAGACTGTGTTGAACAACACATCGAAGAACACACATATCGACGGCTCTGCGCTGAAGAAGCTGTGTGGCAGATGGTAAGTCACAGTACCGACTTCACGACCTCAGATTCAGTCCATGAATCAACATGCGATGCAAGTGTCAGGGGAAGTGTTTGCAGTTGTTTGGCAAGTCTCCAAATGGGGCCCTTCCAAAAGGTGGGTTGCTTGTAGGCATGTTTCGTTTTGACATGCGCCAGAGGGCTCTATCTTGCAATGTGGGGTCCTTAAAGGAATTGCAAAGGTCTTTGCAGATTAGTATTGACGTCCAGCAGTTTTCGAAACACCCACGGCAGTTGCTTAGGCTCCGAGGCTTTAGCCACCCTTTCCAGGCGCCAGTCGGGACCTCAGTTGGTTGACACGGCTCCAGTTGTTCAGCGGCACCTTTGCTTGCTTGCTTGCTTGCTTGCTTGCTTGCTTGCTTGCTTGCTTGCTTGCTTGCTTGCTTGCTTGCTTGCTTGCTTGCTTGCTTGCTTGCTTGCTTGCTTGCTTGCTTGCCTGGTTCGTTGGTTCGTTGGTTCGTTGGTGGGTTGGTGGGTTGGTGGGTTGGTGGGTTGGTGGGTTGGTGGGTGGGTTGGTGGGTTGGTGGGGGGGGGCGGGCGGGCGGGCGGGCGGGGGCGGGGCGGGCGGGCGGGCGGGCGGGCGGGCGGGCGGGCGGGCGGGCGGGCGGGCGGGGCGGGCGGGCGGGCGGGCGGGCGGGCGGGCGGGCGGGCGGGCGGGCGGGCGGGCGGGCGGGTGGGTGGGTGGGTGGGTGGGTGGGTGGGTGGGTGGGTGGTTGGTTGGTTGGTTGGTTGGTTGGTTTATTTCTTGCTTTCTTTCTTTCTTTCTTTCTTTCTTTCTTTGTTGCTTGCTTGGTTGCTTGCTTGTTCCTTCGTGGCAAAGATCCAGCCTCGTGGAGCCTGAGTCGACTGGTTTTTGGGATCTCATGTTGCAAGGGGCCCAAATCAGCGCCATCCCCTCGTTTTCCTCGACCTTGTTACGCCCTGCCAGCTGTCACCGCCATCCAACACCTTTTGGTCGGGCTTAAAGCATGGAAAGACGGGGATCCAACAGGGTCCAGAGCACGTCCTAGCCACAAGAATGGAAACCAGCCTATCTCGTTTTCAGGTCAGATGTCCATCTCCGTTTGGCATTTTGGGGATTAACATGAGTGACCCTGAAAACGGTGAAACTGGGGAGACTGCCATCCGCAATCCTGGAAGGTGCCTGTTGTTTTCTTTGTCTTTGCCTGAGGCCGCACCTGGAGACGGTCCAGGCAAGACGTCCAGACGTCGGTCAACCAGAAAAGTGCCATGGCCCATTTGGCCCATTTGCAGTAGACTGAGGCTGTGCGTCAAGATAAAGGAGGCTCTTCCAAAACCTACCAGGATAGTCTTTAATTTCGTTCATACCATATCAAACTGCCAAATCAGAATCCTTGGGTGCAGCACAGTGTAGCGGTTTGACGGGCCCACCTTGCAGGATGTAGGCTTTGCGGTTGACCTCAAGGTAGGGGTGTCGGGCTACTTTCTTGTTTGGATACGCTTCCTGGATTGCAGAAGCCAATGTGCAACTCTAACGGCGATTCCGCACGGCTGCTTGAAAGGCGTGGGTAAAACTGATCAAATATCAACAAGAACTTCGTAGTGCTGGCACGAATGGAGTTACTGCGTGTGAAACAGCTAAGAATAAGCTAGAACATGCGAGAGTTGAGGAATACAAGCGAGCAGAAAACGTGGCCCTGCGCAGAGAGAGAGAGAGAGGAGAGCGAGACAGACAGAGAGAGAGAGAGAGACACAGTGGCAGACAGAGAAGGATAAAGAGAAAGATAAAGAGAAAGGGAAAGAAATAGAGAGAGAGAGAGAAAACAAGGGCAGTAAATCAAGAGAGAGGGAGAGAGAGGATGAGGAAAAGGAAGAGGGAAGAGCAGATGGGAGAGGAAGAGAAAGAGCAAGAAGAGGACGATAAAGAGAAAGATACTGAGAATGAAAGAGACATAGAAGAGTAGAAAGGCAAAGAGAACAAGAGAAAACTACAGAAGAATATAATATCAAGAGAACGAGGAAGAGAAAGAGCAAGATAGCAAGAATTCTCAAGAGAGAGAGAGAGAGAGAGAGAGCGAGTGTTGAAGGAGTCCATGAATAAATACAAACCAATAACAACATAGATAATAGGATAAAGATGAATGGGGCAACAGCATGCTCAAATCTATGTCTCGTGTACTTGTCACAACTTGTGAAGCTTCCGGCCCTACCGAACTTTACTGGTATGCACACTTAGTTTGCCCGGTTTCTTTATTGGGCTGCACCGGATGGGGTAAGAGGCTGCACAAAAATGGAGGCCGAGGGAGCCCCTCTTTCAGCGAGCTCTTGGTTTGGGGATTTGACCCTCTGGTGCGGGTGGCTGGTAAATGGGACCCCCGAAGCTCCAAACCACCAGTCAGCACTTGGAAGTAAGGTGAACATGACCCTTGATTCATGGGGCTCGGTGTCCCCTGGCGGTGGCAATCCAATCTTGACGTCCCAAGGAACTTGGATTCGGAAGAATTGCCTCACCTTCCGCTCAAGTTGCCTTGACCAGGCGAGTCCAAAGGCATCGACTCGCAGGAGACAAGGCGGAGTGAACGCAGAGTCGTGGCGCTGGCGGGCTGAACTTAGCTTTTTGGTTTTCTGCCTCTAGCTGTTAGATGTGCCTCTAGCAGCAAGCAGTTCCTGTAGCTATCTGTAGCTCTTTGGCGGTCTGCATGCAGTGAGAGCCTACAACGCATTTCCATCGTATTCTCTGCGTTGGAACAGCAACCCTTGCTGGCCACTCTAATTATTTGGCGCTGCGTCGTGATTCGCCTTGTGAAGAACCTTTGTCACACCTTAATTGGCCACCCAGCCGGCTTTGGAGAACAGCACGGAAGTGCCAGGACGTTCGATTGATTTTTCCCACAATTATTGACTGACGTTCTGACAACAAGGGCCTGGTTTTTGCGGAAGCTCTCAGTAGGGGCCCCTTGAGATTTGAGCGACGGACGTAAACACCGTGCCCATGTTAACCCGCACGATAACTTCAGCTTAGCAGCAGCTTCCCTTGAGCGTGCCTTGTTGAGGGGTCCCTTGAATAATGAAGACATTGTGCCAGGCAACCTGCTCCCTTGAATGATGAATGCTCATGTGTGCCTAGCTATGATGATCCCCCCCCCCAGGTCGACAACACCCTGAAGGGCCACCTGCCCTTCAGTCCATTCCAGCCTGCTTTCTCTTCCCTGTGTTTCTAGTAGGACTGCAAAATCGGGTTCATGAGCACCCTCTTTTTCCTTCATCTTTGGTGGGTTGCCCACGAACAAAAGTGGACATCAACCCCACCAAATCCCTGTTTCCAGGGTCTGGGCCCTAGCTGACACTCGAGACCCGAGGGTTTGGCCCTTTGGCCGACGATTTGAAGGCGAACCCCAAAAAAAGGTTTCTGGGGCCTATTACGTTTGATAAATGGAAGGGAGTCCTCATGGCAACCAAACCAATCTTTTGCACTGGTTTCGTCTGAAAAGCGGGTTTCTAAGAAGTGGTTGCTTTTCGAAGTTGTTCTGTAGAACTGTTTTTAGGGCGGAGTGGGAACCTCTTCAACCAACACAGAAAATGTCATACTGACATGGACCTTTGCACGGTTGGCCTACAATCTACAAGAGAGCTCCTTACCAGGAAGTACTTTGACATCGGGTTCCAAGGGACCGTTTGGTTCAGGGATTCTCTTGCCTTGCGGATAGACTCCGCAACCTTTGCAATCGGCAACAAGCTGAAGCCATCAATCTAATCTGGGGAAGGTGTGCCAACCTGAAGCCGGATAGGAATCTCTATGCGTCAGTGACGCTTCCCAGATTGCAGCCATCACACCCAGACCGTTTTGGCGCTGGAAGGGCTCGTATCAGTGCTGTACTTGGGCATTGTTATGGGAAAGTTTGCTTGCGTAGACCCAGGCCCAGGATTCTTGATGTGCTGCTGCCAAGCCTTTTTTCCTTGGAAGGGACAAGCTTGCTGGATTGATTTATGCTGCTTTTTCATGTTACAATCCCTCAGACTAACATGGAAGCTCCCAGAAGGCCTCTGTAAATGGAACCCAGGCTTCCAAAGGGGTCCTGGGAGCTTCCATGTTCGTTTGGGGGAGGGTAGGCCCGCTGATCTGGAAGCTTTCAGGTGCCCTGAGTCAGACATTGCAATTCTACGACCTAGTCCTCCAGCCCTTCGAGTCGCCATGGGAACAAGGGCCGACTTGTCTTTTGGTTAAACAAAGCAGTGACGAACAGGCTCTGAGAGCTTGAGACATCATCTGAGATCTCTATAGATTAAGCTGCGGTCGAAAGCCGTTGGATAAACAAAGTGGCTCAGAAGAATGGTTGACACGAGGTCTAGTGCTCACACAGGTGTTCCGCCTCGGCTATTGATCTAGATCACGCTCACATACTGCTGTAAAGGGATTCATTGCTATAAACTATCGATGACAAATCAAATGGCCACAAAAAGTGTTCTGTAAGTAAAGGACCTCCGCAAGAACACGCTTCAGCAGACACCATGGCGGATGCCCCCAATGAAAAGTTCTGGAGGTCTCCAGCTGTTGTCTGTGCTGTCTCCTGAAGACTGACCGGAAGTTCAAAACTCGAAGTCGAGCCAGTTTTGTTGCTATCAGCATGCCCAATCAGTTGCAACTGCTCCTGTGAGAGTGCTCGCAATGGACACATGGAGGTTCTTGTGTGTTTACCCAGCGGTCGTTCAGCCAGCATTGAAGTGCCACTGGATTCAAGAGTGTGCGTGTTGCAAGCGGCGGCTGCGCAAGAGTTCGGATGTGGCATTCGATTCTTGGTCACAGGCAGCTGCTGCCAATTGAACCCGCAAGACGCTCTTTCCACGGCCCTCACCAGCGGGGAGTCAGTGACCGCGGTGGTGACATCCAGCATCTTGATGGCCACCAAGCGGATTTCGCTGGCGCCGCCGGCTGGGGCCTTTGCCCTGGCGGACGGCCGCAAGCTGGCCATTTGGGGCTTCCAGAAATCTCGGAGTCTCCGCACCAGCCGAGTGACGGATCTCGATGCGCTGCAAATCCAGGCTGGGCTCTTTGGCTTCGCGGCCATCCGGGCGGATGGATCTGTGGCCACTTGGCTCTGCGGGCGAGAGCAGCATGAGCTGCGGCTTACCAAGGGAGCTCGCTGCATTCAGGCAGTGAAATTGACTTCTCAGTTTTCCCCGTTTGCGTTTTCATCTAGGGTTCGTTTTGCTAGGTTTTGGGGACGTGAGGCGTTGAAGTGCCTTCTTGGAATTCACGAGGACCCTAACAGTGTTACTTCCAATTCAGCATACATGGATGGCTTGGCGGTCCTTTGGTGCAGGCATCTTTGAGCGGCTTTGCTGCGATTCTCTGCGATGGACGTGTGGAGACATGGGGCCATCCTTCTCTCGATGATGTGGACCTGACAGACGTTACTCACATCCAATCCAATGACAACTCATTCGCTGCAATCCGATCAGATGGAAGCGTGGTCTCTTGGGGAAACCCTGAACGTGGTGGCGACACCGCTCATGTGCAAGCGCAGCTGACTGGCGTTCGACACATCCAGGCGAACAAAAATGCCTTTGCCGCCGTGCGGGCGGATGGCCGTGTGGTGGCATGGGGTCTGCCTGACTCCGGTGGTGAGGTTCCTCACGGCTTGTCGGAGCAGCTTAGAGACGTGCTGAGCATCCAAACTTCGAGCAGAGCCTTTGCCGCAATTCGCTCAGATGGGCGGGTGGTCACATGGGGCTCATCTTCAGGCGGCGGCGACAGCAGAGAAGTGCAAGAGCAACTTAACGAGGTTCAGCACATCCAGGCGACCGCCCTGGCTTTTGCGGCCATACGGGCAGACGGGAGTGTGGTGACTTGGGGTGACCCGAGTGCTGGTGGGGACAGCAGTGCTGTCTCTGGGCAGCTTACTGATGTCCGTCAAATTCAAGCGTCCAGGTGTGCCTTTGCGGCCCTCCGTGCAGATGAAAGAGTTGTAGCCTGGGGATCAGCGTCTCATGGCGGTGACAGCAGCTGTGTCTTCGAGCAACTCGTGGAGGTTCAATGCGTCCAGGCTTCAGATCATGCCTTTGCCGCCATCCGATTTGATGGATCTGTGGTGTCCTGGGGCTCTTCGCGACTTGGGGGCGACAGCAGTTTGGTCCAAGAGCAGCTGAGGAGCATCCAGTGCATTCAGGCCTCAGCCGGTGCCTTTGCCGCTCTGAGGTCGGATGGATGCTTGGTAACCTGGGGCTGTGAAGGAACTGGCGGTGACAGTCGTGCGGTGCGAGAGTGCCTTTGAGGGACTGCAAAACATCCTGCAGAGTTCCGGGGTTTGCAAAGCACGGAAAGGCTGTCGGTGAGGCAATGTTTGGCCAGGGATTGCCAGAACCCTGCCTGGAATTAGCTGTTGCAATTTCAGCTCCTAAGTAGTAACTGTTCCTGACTTGGGATCATTCTTTAGTCCTATTTGGTGAGGGGCTGGGTCTTTTTGAGGACAGGTTAAAAGGGGAACCACTGAACAACCACTTATTTTTTGGGTACCTCTATTTTGACACATACTCGTGAATTCGGGTAAGGAGTGCAGCGCAAATGCTTACCCCCTTTCCCCAAAACAGTAATCCATGCCGTTTTAGCTTCGAGAACGTAGCCGCAGTGTGTTTCAATATGTGTGTGTGTGTGTGTGCCAGGCTTAGAGGCTTGTGTTGCCTGATACTGTTACAGACATGTGTACCATTTTTTTCATTGCAACGGCGGACAGCGGACAGCGAGGTCTGACAAGGCCACCTTCCATAAAATGGTGTCCTAGTTTTGATTTGTAGTTGCTTTGCAGAATTGCATGTTATGTTTTGGACTGTTTTCATGAAAGACACCGATTTTAGTATGTTGCAGTTTAGACAAGCGGATCAAGGGGGGGCTATGAATGTTCAAAGATTCCCACCTCAAGAATTGGCGGACATGAGTCTCCAAATGATGCCCACCAAAGTCCTGGTTGAGATTCCCAAATGAACAATCACCAGTTTTGGGATTCCACGGTTCCAGACCTTTTCAAGTGACATCCACCATTTATGTGGATGCCATTCTTCATGGTTGAGGCAACGGATCGGCACCATTGGACGGGCTCCTTCACTCGTTTCGGCTGCTCGAGCTTGGCACGGCCGCGCGAAAGCTCTATTTAGTTGCGTGTTTTCTTCAATACACAAGAGCCATGCAGATCAATAAGCCTTTGCAAGTGGGCTGTCTGGAGAAAGTCATCAAGTGATCAAGTTATTTTTTCAGCGCATCCTCTTACTGCAGACGTGTCCCCTAGCCTGGAACTTCTCGGGTCTCATGTTGCCGTCCTCTCAGACCTCCTTTCCCTCTACGAGAAATGCCCCTCTACGTGAATCCTGCGGTTTATGTTGCCAGTGTTGAACTGAATGAGTGGGGGAAGGAGCAACTACAAAGGCCATCAATGTCCTGTGTTATTGAATCAGCGCAGTCGTTTAATGTCTCAAGGAACCATGTTTTGAAGAGCCACCTGCACACCTGCGAAGATCAGCAGCTGGCTTGCGCCAGCCGGGTTGACAAAGCCATTTATGCTACTGCCTAGATGTAAATGATACAACATGAACTGAAGGTTAGAGACTTCTCATACATAAAACAATACGGCGATAGAAGTAAAAGGATAATGAATCCTGCGTTGTTTTTTTCACATAGCATGCTGGCATAACAATACGAGTCAGGTACTATATGGAAAGGATGTAGTACTACACATTCTTCTAATGTATGATATGTATCACATAAGAGAAACCGAGAGTAGTTTGAAGAAGATACAGATGGATAATCGACAATATATGTTTACAGAACTAGTAACTGATGATGAAAGGACAGCACAGCTTGGTATTAGTGGAATTCCTATTATGATTCGTTGGAGATATACAATATAGATTACGTCTATGATAAAGACATGCACATACCATGAACGACAACAAACCCTTTGCATGTTGGATTGTTTTAACAACGTTTGCCCCTATAAATGCAAGGTAAATAACAATGCCAGAAACCCAGTATTTGGATTATGGAAATATGCAACATACGATATAGCTATTCCAAGATCTAGAAACAACAGCACGCAAATGAAAAGGTTTGCACCATTAGCATGAATAACATGTAAACACCAGCCAGAATATGTCTAACCACGATTAGCACGCGAACACATGCTGAACCAATGTATGTTGTCACATATAACATCAGACGATTCCAGAGATACTTTGAGTTCCTAGCTGTTTGTTTTGCTTTTTAAACAACCAAAGAAGACAGATGCCTGAGGACAAGGATCTGATTGTAAATAAGCACAGCATGATAGTAAAACCAAAGGACTTTTCAACATGACAATAGTATAATGTTAGTGCATCATTATGGTCTTGTCTCCTTTTTATTTGTTGTCTTCGTATTCATATTCCATCCTTAGATGAATCCGGTATACATTGAGCATTCTACGCGTGAGAACATGTGAAGCAACAAAACACAATCGTGCAACATCTCTACATAATGTATGCATGTGCCTTATCACAAAGCCTTAGTCTCTCTATGAGAGTGTCTTACAGCACTCCCACCCAGGACCCACAAACCGTCACTAACCTGGAACCTGACTGGGGTGGAGGACAAATTTCCCTGCAACCCTCTGGTGGGTTCCGCGTTAGTTGGTGAGAAGAGTAGCTCCTTTATTTCTTTGTGCCACAAACGCATTTCAACCTGTCGCAGGTGTAGTGAGGAACTTGAGGCTGGACTGATGGGCGGATGGCCCCTATCTCGATCCGAAACCAGCTAGGGGCTAAACCATATAACGAGGTTGTGGGGTACTTGAAACTAAAATCATCGTTCTCAGAGTGCGCTGTGGGGAATGATGTAGCCTTGGCCCATATAATACTGCTTTGCTTCAGGACGTTGCCCAAAGACCCGCTAAAGAGCAAGTGGTGGGGTGAATTTCCCATATCTCCTGTAGCTGGCTTCTATGATTTTAGGGTGCACAAATGGTAGCGAAAAACATCCAGCAGGACTGTTTCTGTTGATAAAGGCCGGCTAAGGAGCTATATACAGCCCGAAGAGGGCGGACATGCGGGACCTGAGGTTGGCTGGATGTGTTGGGTGTGTGCCAGGGATGACTATCAACATCAACATATCCAAGGGTGGCAGTCCCACGTTGCTGTTTTAATGTTCGGCTTCTGGTTTGTGCAAGCCTGACTTGATCCATCATATTAAAGCAATCATATTGAAGCAAAGCAAACTGCTTCTCTGCCCCATTGTCTGAATTTCTGGCAAGATCGGGGCACCCAAAACCTGCCGGATATGTTTGCTCCATACTTGTCACTCGGGCATGGACTGCGATTGCCAGCCTTGCTATGGAGTTGTCGCAGTATAGATAAAGATCCCAGGCTAAACCAGCAGCAGGATGTGCATAGCTGCATTTCCCACTGCAAGGTTTTGCTGCGTGGTGCGGGCACCACGGAGCAGCGTTGCCGGCTTTCATCCGGCAAGCTGCTGATGGAAGGCGAGCCATCCCAGCAGTCAAATTGGGGTATCCCAGGCCTCTGTCAAAACATATAGTGTCTGGTGCCTTGTTGAGGGACATGGGGGACACTCTAAGTGTTCCGCACCACAACAACGGGGACCCTCTAGGCCGTGCCCACTAAGGCAACATCACTTTTTTGTTGTGGCTCAGGTGGGTTCTAACCAGGTTCTAAGGATGCTGCACACATCACCTGGTGCAAACCGAAACCCAGTTACAACTTGTTTGTAGGGTTTCCAAATCAAGGCTCCAAAGGAGGTTCCTCCACTCTTGATCTTATGTTGCATGTTCAATCTGGTCATCCGCATTATGTGAAATGGTGTACGTTGATGTATTTTATGATGGCTGTGGTAGTTAGCACAATCCTAGATCTGCTGTTTTCTCTGATTGTCCAGTCCACAAATGACCTGGACTCTCATTTGTGATGCTTGTGGTAAGTGGGAGGGACGTCAGCACCTGCAGTAATTTGAAGCCTGGACGAAAACAAGCAAAAGCAACAGACTGACAAGAGGCATCGGTCCAGCCATTCGAACTGATTGGGCAATTGGCTCATTCACAGCACATTTTGAAGCAACTCAATCACTGTGAGCCAGATGTTCAATGGAATCATGATGCAGCCCCAGAGAGAAGGAATGTTTCTGAGGGTTGCATCAACACCCGCTGGGTGTGTCTTCAGCGTAGCTCTCCTCTTTGGTTCCTTTAAACCTATCATGCAGGCCGCCAAGTTCAAGACATACGTTTAGCCTCCTGTGTCACTTGGCTTGCAACAGAAGGCAGCAGTACAAAACCAACAAGACCTTCTCGTCGATT